GTATCGCACTTTGCTGATCAAAGGTTCTGATCACCGGTGTGTGTTGCTGATTAACACGAAACACACGAACTCACAATTACCATTTACGAATCTTCCCTCCCGCGGCGTCAGCTTAAGTGTGCGTTAATATCAACTGGGAAGACCCCTTCCATCGAAACAAAGAGAGGTTGCAAGAATATCGAGTTAAGTGATGAGTTTTCCAATAAGGGCTATCGTAAAACTCAGAAGAATCCTTTTGATAGGGTTGGTAATTGCTGGTGCATTCTATGCAGTGATGTTGATGCCAAAAATGCTGCGGCTATTAAGAAAACTGAACCAGGAGGATATCGGTAAGGAAATAATTTTTAGTAGAATTGCTTCTACCTTAATAGTACCGCTTGACACTGGAAAACACCTACAGCACCACGCGAGTTTATTGGTCAAGAGTGCAATAGAGGTTATAGAGTGCAATACGGAGAAGTTGCCATGAAAACACCGGGGAAGCGCCAAATTTGAACACCAAATTATAAAAAATGGCTGACAGCCGTTTTGCTTTGTCTTCAAGAACTTCACGCTTGATTTACCTGTCACAACATTACATTTTTGATTGGTTCAAATAAAACATGTGAGCATTTTGGAACCCATTGAAGTGTTTTTTGTGTTACGTAAGGCGTGCAGAGTAGCGCGATGGAGTAATTTTGTCGAGAATATAATAAATAAAAAATCGTATGAACCTGCTCGTGCATTTCGTGATTTATGGTCACTCGTGCCCATAAATCACGAAATGCACGAGCAGGTTCATACGATTTCCTATACTTACTAAGTGCGCCAGGCGACAATTATATTACAAAATGCGACAGGTATAACAAGGTCCGACAGCACTGTATTGTGCAATGCCTATTACAAAGTGCGATGAACGAAAAAGTAGACAAAAGCGAAGGGAACGTTTGTTGATCGCTAAGTGTGATTTTAACGACTTTTGTGTGAAGCTCAAAGCTAATTGTCTTTAAGATAAATACCAATTTAAAGGCAAAAGGACCGCTTTAACAACCATGATGGATGTCTTCAATTGCTATTTAGGGGAGCTCAAAATTTTATAACTGTCTCTTAGTGAGATGGTACCAACGGAGTTAGAACAATGCGGCTAATCTCAACTTTAATGAATAAATCGTTAATTTCCACTAAATTTGTAAATACAGCCGGACCGTCTCAAAAACTATTTCCCAAAAAAACTATTATTATTGTGAGGCTTAGTTTTTACCAACGGAGTTGGAACAATGTGGCTAATCTCAACCTTAATGAATAAATCCTTAATTTCCACTAAATTTGTAAATACAGCCGGACCGTCTCAAAAACTATTAACTAAAAAAACTATTATTATTGTGAGGCTTAGTTTTATTCAGCTTAGTAAACATCACATATTGATGTATTTTCAGTTGCGAATTAAACTCTTGATAAGTAACAAGTGATATATATTCTTGTGATATAAATTGCAGTATTTTTCATAGATTTCCAGTCCTGATAAAAGTCATAAGAGCAAACGTGTAAAATAACGATATTTTTTTACGCGTGTTCGCGCCACTCTGTCAGGTTAATCAGTGAATTAATGACAAATCATTCAACATCCTCAATCTAAGGTTGTTTGTCGAAATTTTTCTCGAATTATGGCCGCTAACAATACTGAAAGTTTGTATAGCTTACAGACACTGACGTTCAAAATTTCCTAGAAGCGGAAAAAACCAAAATACGAAAAGTTACTTGGCTTTGGTTAGAATATTTCTCGTGGCTGAGCTAAAATCAGCAACCGGAAGATTTGGCACCGGTCGACTTTGGCCGTGTATTTGAGCAAATTTCTTCTGAGGTACGGAAAAGTCTATAACTAAGAATTTGTGAATTATAAGTTACGCCCATTTTTTTTTTGTAATGATTCAACGCATTTTTTCATCTTGAGCCTTGTTGCCTTCGCACTTTACGACTTTTTTTGGCGGATTGTGAATCCTTATTCGTTTCATGTCTTAATAAAGTCGGCTTTCCTTTTCTTTTCAGCAAAGGCCTATTGTGTACATAATAAACAAAATAATAGTGATTGGTTGCTTGTAGTTATGAAATTTCTCTCCTCGTGTTTAACTCAATATCTCACTCATTTGTTGTGCTCACCTGTGAGATGTCGAGTTAAATACGAGAAGAGAAATCCCATATCGATGCGCGCCCGTGTATCATTCTCTGTTTCCTTAGACCAAAAAAAATTGTGACAAATGAAGCGAATAGACACAACAAAACGGAAGAAACATAATGTGTACATCTAAGAAGGCAGAACTTATTCTTTGAGAGAGACCTGAGAAGCTTTCTGCCATTTCGCTGCCATTTTTCACAAATTTATCTGGTTTCTCCGACTGGGTAGTATTTTTAAGCAAAGACGTCGGTTACTACTTAAAGCCGATAAATAACTTATTAATCCTCTCTTTTCACTCTCTTAAATTACTTCGGTTGACAGTGAAGAAATGTAAAATGGTTTCCGTGTTTTCATAGCCTGATGTAAACACGCGGGAGGTTGGGAGAACACGAGATAAGCGTAGGAAACCACGACGCGAAGCGGAGTGGTTTCCAGCTTATATTTGAATTCTCTCAGACAATTTGTTCGTAGTGAGAGTGTACTACAAATACGCTCTCGATGGGTCTTTCCGAGTCCGTTCAATGTGGACATTTGTACCGTTAACTGGACAGCAGAAACTAAGGGAATTCAACGAGAAAAAGCCGCATTAAATCCCCTTGTGTCTAGTTGAAGTGTCTCCTTCGAATTTAGTTTTTATAGAGGAAATACCAGATTTAAGATTTAAAGGTGCACATGCGCTTTTTCATCTTACGCGCTCTCTAATTGACAGGTGTCAGATTGTGACAGATACTTGTAAAAATAATGTTTCAAAGTTCGTTTGGAAGCCTTTTAAATCACCTTTATCCTTACGCAAATGAAAATTTTTCGGTGAAGCCTCTCTTTAATTTGCATTACCTCTATTTTAACTACCTATACCTTAAATTACTCGTTTAATATTTGTTCAGTTTATGAAAGATCTTGCCGTAATTACAGCCCTAAATCATTCGGGTTATTTTGAAAAGAATTTTGTTGAGTTTAAAAACATATTTAAAATGTTATTCACCAGCCAAGGTCGATCTGTAAAGGGAAAAACTTTGCCCTCTTTCAAGACCTCGGGCAAAGTTTTTCCCAATACGGACCTACCGGCTGGCGAACAACATGTGTGTTTTAACGAATTGTGCCGTATTTTGACGAGCCCGTATGACGAGTCAAAATACAAACAACAATTTAAAATACTCAGCGATACTACACAGCAAAACGTCTAATAAGATATGTATTATCCAACTGCTTTTTTTCTGCTATATATTTCTGCCCATTTCTCATAAGCGGGGAAAAGCAAAGCGGATAAAGAAGCGTAGCGCGCGCAGCTGACTGGTTAAACAGGCATTTTTACAGTACAAAATAACAAAGTTACCAAATAAACGTACAATATTGCAAGTAATGTGTACCCTTTTCGTGCGATATTTGTTCTCTAGTAAGTGCAGTACACGTAGGTACACGACAGCGCTGTTGAGGAATGGCTTCCGTATCATGAGTCCGGAAATGACTGACTGGCACAAGAACCAAAATTCCTCCAACAGTAGCTTTCTTTTAAAAGGTAAATCAGTTCTGGTTGTTGATCGTGGATAAATGGTACGATAACGAAGTGTTCACTTATCAAATAATCGCGGGACTGCAAGTGATCCTGGAATTGTAAGTGATCCCTAAGGCTGGGCCGCTACTTTTGCAACTTTTTGCATGGTCAGATCGCCATCGTAATTCTTTTCTTAATTCCGGTAACTTTCGTGATATCTCTCGATTTTCCAGTCTTGTGGGTCTGCATTAGCTGGAACTTTCTACAGATAGATTCTTTGTAAAATGAATAACAGATGAGTATGAAAAGTCACGACAGCAGTGCGTTAGATACTAACCGCTGATTGACCGCAAAAAATGCAATGCCACAAAATGTTTGCGCAAGGAGGAAAAAGTTTTGTTTGCCGATCGTGGATAAATGTCATCATGATGAAGTGTAGAGTTCCACAAATGACCCGGAATCGCAAGTGATATGGATCGATAGATAGGATATGGATCGATAGATAAGAATGGATCGCTACTGTCATAATTCCTTACATGGCCATCTCATCTTTTAAGTTGCGTCACTCGGTAAGCAAAGTGACCCCCACCACAATATTATCCAATATGATCCCATGCCATTCGCCAAACAGTTTACAACAAGAACCAATATCCAGGTATGATCTCTATATTAAATATGCCAAGGTGACGGTCGAATTAAATTTCTAAAATAATTGACATGTGGTTTGCTAATTTGTGCCGCTTTCTTCGGGTTGTGTTCACCATTCGCGCTCTCGAAAGCGACGGTAGCACTTGTGCAATTGTTGAAGAGACCGCGATGTTGCATAAGTAGTTGAAAAATGAATATGTTTGTGAGCCCTATACCATGTACTTACATGGGAATGGTCAGATACACTAAGTATTCTTCAGTGACTTAATACATTTGTATTGTTTGGGCGGTTTCAGTGCCAAATATCTTGCTATCCTTCGACAGACTTGCACGTACTCATCACAAAGTCTCGAAAAGGTGCCTGGCCATTCTGTCAATTTGATTGTACTGAAAATTTACTGAGTCTTTAGAGCATTCAGAAATTTGATTTCCTGGTGAAATTTCTATTGATGCGTGTTTTATCTCGTTTTCCCTTCGAAACTGCTATGTGCCTTAACAACCGCCATGTTTTCTCCCGGCGATCACATGGAACAAGTGCGGCTTCCTGACTGGTTTATATAATGATTGGGCTACCTGAAATGCCTCCAAAATACTGCTCTCTGATTGGGTAGGACCCACATAAGCCATTTCTTCCCCTGAAACGTGAGTGAGCCAGAGAGCACTTAAAGATATATCGAAGGCATGACCTTGATCAATACTAAGTGCCATTCCACCGATAGAGTTGTGCGTTGATTGAGAAGGAACCTTTCTTAATAAATCAAAGACAGGTTGCAGAAGTACGTACATAATTCCAAAATGCGTTGTTCGTTAAGGAACTTCGCAAAACTTACATTCGTCATTCTGATGGTGCATGTCCTTGCAGGGGCATTTTATTCAGTAATTTTTGAAACAAATCGAAGTGTTAACGGTAAGTTACCATAACATTTGTTTCTGTTTAACTCGCACCACACCCAGTGGTCTTGTCCACTGCCGACCTGACGAACCGACAATGCCTCCCAACGAAACGAAAAATGAATCAGTACTTTCGCCCATTTTTTTGACTAAGTCAAACTCAGTGCCTAAAGTGACAACCATCCATAGTAAAGAACTTTCTCGTTATTCAACGCTATCAAGATATTTATCTCGCTTTCAATTCTCCGCTAATTTGTTTGATTGCACTTGTATTGTTTTGACACTATGTAGTAAGCCTGAAACACTCGACTTTCACAGACGGGCTTTAAAGCCATTTCAGGGACACTTGTAAAAAATGGCCCCGTATTCTATTAACTCTTTGCCCTGTTTTCTATTACCGATAGAGTGAAAGCTCTCTCTCCGATAAGCGAAAGCGTAGAGAAATTTATTCATATTTCAAACGCCTGGCAATCTTGTTTCTCGACCATACTTTTCGTGTGCTTGGAACTGCAATCGCTCTGAAAAACTGCTCGCTCAAGATCCCAAATTTTTAAGGCTTGTGGGTGCGAGCAGATGAAAATGTGAACCATTTCTTAAAACACTTTTTCGACTGAGGTGCTTGCTTAGACTGCTGCACGACTGAATATTGGTTGCATTCTCAGCGCACATCGTAAATATATATTTTGACCAATTACGAATTTATGCTTCTGTCTTGGTTAGGGTTATTAGTTGATCTCGTTAAAACAGTGTTATTGTCCCTTTTAATATTTAGATGGCGAGTCAGTCACTTCATGTATATGTTAGAAAGTTAAACGTCTTCGTTAGCGTTTTTTGTTGTCACAATATTAAAGCAAACGTTGAGTTGTCGTTGTTGATGTTGTTTTTGTTTGAACTGAAATTCCATCACTTTTTATTTTTTGAGCTGCGCGTTTGAAACTACCGAGACAGCAAATTAAAACTGTAATTTCCTTTTAACTGCATAGACAAAACTCCATCATCAACAAAATAACGCTTCTTAAATTAAATTTGAAATCTAGAGTAGACATGCAAGAGGAAGATACGGTTGAAGTACGACTTTGCTCTGACGTACGTCAAAACAACCCCTAGCTTAACGTTAACGCGACTGTTTAATAATTCGTTATAATTTCGATCATTTATTTTTTTTTTTTGAGGTGATAGTAGAACGGTTGCATATTGCAAACTCCCTTTATCAACACCTAGATTTCTAATAAATTTCAATTGAATTTTAACAGATTCCCAGAATATCAAACAGATGAAAAGAGAGGCACTGGTAAGTAGTTAATTGAAATTCAGCGAGTGGGGGTAAATTTTCTACTCGTCAAAATTCTTGCTATGAGGATGAATCTGGTCCCATTCTCGATCAAAACATGTCATTTTTACACCCGAAGCAGACCTGCTGGTCTATAAAATCCATATCTATTTTCAAACCTTTGGTTTTGGAATTCATTACGCTCTCCCGCAGAATATCATTACTTTGAAAAAAAAAAATTGTGATTTTTAAAGTTATCAATTGTACTTAAAACAATATAATCTTAAAGGAGTGCTAACTTTCGGATTTATGTCTCTCAGTATTTTCACACAAATCGAATGCGACCAATTTTCAACTTTTCGGTTTCATTTGAGCTCATTTTCAATCCAAAGTAACTCTATAAACCTGTTTTACTGAAGTACAACAATTCAAAAACCCCTTGCCGAGAGAAAAGACTGTTCTGGAATAAAATGTTTTTCCTTACTGAAATAAAACTATACTTAACCTCGCTGAAATCCTGCAATCATTAAAAAACATGTCCAAGACAAAAATAGACAAAGGAAAAAGTGAACGAAACTTATCCTAATGGCTTAGGATTAGAGACAAGGGTCATTCCCCGAGAGAAGGGAAAGGCCATTTTCTGCACGACTTACCTTTTTCACACTGGGCTCATGTCTTGAAGAGCAGTTTTGTCGAAAACATAATTAAAAATTTGTTCCAAACAGAGAGTCTTTCCTAGTAGTACACAGAACGCAAGTCACACATAAATCTACGGTTACCTTGCTCAGATGGCCAACGACTGACTTTCCTTTTGCTGGTTGGGAAAGCCTCCAACCGCAATTTCGTTAAAGAAGGAGGTTTAAAATCCTTAGGGGAAACTAGGGTTTTTTTTTATTACTCGCCCTTCGTGTTCTTGAAACTGCAATCGTTCTGCAAAAACTGCCCGCTCAAGATCCCAAATTATAGAGACTTGCGGGTACGAGCAGATGAAAATGTCAACCATTTCTTACCACACTTACAACCAATTCTCTAGCTACGTGGAGTGGCAAATGGAACGATATATTCTCTCTTTGTTTTAGTTAGTGGTATTTAAATGTTAAACTGTAAAAATTATTTCTAAAGCTTAGTAACATTTTAACCAAAACTTACTATAGTGTCAGTTGAATATACCAAAAAAATTGGCCAGAAAGTTTGGATTTACATTACATGTAAGTAATAATGGTGCAGTGGCTGCATATCACGCGCGACTCCCGCAGCGTGGGTGCCGAATTTGAGAATTGTTCGTATTCACCTTAAAAAATAGTTCGAAAGAATAATTTTGGTTCCTTCCTTCTCAGTCTCTCTCTATGGAATCAAAAATATGACCATGTTTATACGTTCTCTTGGTGTCTTTAGGTATCATACAGTTATCCCTGACACATAATTTTGTTCCCGAAGCAAGTCGCACAAATGTGATGATTGCAGTGACAAATTGGGACACAAAGACTTGTTTTGAAAGCAGTACTCACGAATCGATTCGTGACGAAGCCCTGGTTCGGCGATTTAGCGCCTTAAATGTTCCAGCCTTGTTAAGAATGTTTATCAACTTAAATCATTTTTAATTTCGCTTTTTTTCAGATCAGACTTTTAGAGGAAAGATATCGGCCTTGGAATTCTTCTGCTTGTACCAAGCAAGGTAGAAGAAAACCTATTCAATATATCGTCAAACATCACCTTATCGTGTCCGAGCGTTACAAAACACTCTTCTGTTTCGTTCCTAAAGTAGCATGTAGCAACTGGAAACGAATTTTTCACGTTTTAGATGGACATTTCAACTCGTCGGAAGATATCTCCCACGAAACTTCGCATGATTCAGGAAAGTTACGCTTTTTGAGACATTATTCAAACGCTACAGTAGTAAATCACATGTTAAAAACATACAAAAAGATTGCATTTGTTCGCGAACCTATGGAGCGATTTCTGTCAGCCTACCGGAGTAAATTTGCACCCGTTGATCCCCCTAGAAGGGGATTTTACTACAGCACCGGCCTAAACATCATCAAAAGGATGCGGAAGAACTCTACAGGGTTAACTCCACATTATCCCACATTTAAGGAATTCGCAAATTTCGCGATTACTACGCCTGTTAGCTCTCATGATGAACACTGGGATCGTCAGCATAATTTATGCGCTCCGTGTGATATAAATTATGACTTCGTTGGCTTTTATGATAATATCAAAGCAGATGCTGACCTCGCTCTTATGTTGATGGGAGCTGATGAAGAGGTTACATTTCCAAATATCGAAGCTGCACCTGAAGGACAAGGATCACAAACGAAGATGAAGACTTTCTATTCAGGAATATCACAAGAAGAATTTACACGACTGCAGAATATCTACGCAAAAGACTATGACATTTTTGGATTCAAAAAGCCCAGTTATCAAGAAATAGTGAATCCCTGAATTTCTTCAGCAAGAAGGAAAAGGGGAGGCAAACCACAGCATGAAAAAGGATTGCTGTTTAAAATGGCGTACAGCTGTCACAGCTGTACGCCATTTTAAACAATGTTTGTTAACATTGCCAGACACTAAAATTTTAACCAACACAAACTTGATAGGAATTTGATGAAACCGGTAAGCTCACTCACCTTTGAGACAAAAAATCACGTCGCAGATAGAAGTAACTAATTTTAACATCTCATTTCTAATTGCGATTTCAGAAAATTAGAGCAGTTGTCTCCAATTTGATTCTTCGTTGGTTTAAAAAAACTCGCCACTCTCTCAACCAATCAGATGCAAAACTGAAACCAAAGAGTCTTCGTCAATGACGTTTTCCCGCGGCTCCTTATAATAATAATTATAATAATAATAATAATAATAATAATAATAACAATAATAATAATAATTACTTTATCTAACGAGGGTTACACAAAGCAGTAAATATACTAAAGAACCAGTGACCCTCCTTGTGATATGGTCTTTAGCATAGTAGTTTCGTTTTTCTTTGGTCTTTTTCATAAGTTTTGTGTGCAAATTATACCCTTCAAATTTGAGAAATAAAAAAAAATCCATCGAAGGGGAAAAAGATATAGCTAAAAGCGTGCAGGGAGCCCGTTACTTGAGGATGCAAATTATAACCCTGAAAGCAACGATTCGAGGAATGTTTTGAGTCGATGTCGCTAAAAACCGCGTGATTGTTTCACAAATTATATATCAAATTGTTCCATACGCTCGAGACTTTCTACCTATCAAGTTTTTTTCAAGTGTGGCTTTAGAAAGGTTGTTTCCAGCTACCTCAAATTGTACCGCGAACAGATGAAAGGATTCGCCTGATTAGCGCCAGTACGGGCTTAAGTGCGGTAAGCTTGGCCCCCATATCTTTTAAATATGCTTGGTGACCTATTTTTTAAATTGTATTTTACGAAACAAACGTTGGTAGGAAACATTTAAGGAGAGTTTAACAAAATTGGTGGTTAACTTTTTTTTTCTTAGCAATCACCATAAGGCGGCTGGTGTTTTTTTTTGGCGACATTTGAGTTCATTTTGAAGTAGTCGAATGGAATCAAGAAAGAAATGTTTATTATTTTTATTAAAATCACAACTAGCAGCTAGTAATTGAATTACTTGCACAATGTACGTAATTTATAATAATTTGAAAAGCATATATTACGAAAGATATAAATCGTATAATAATAAATTCTAAACATAAACAATTAAAAAAATTAATAACAATAACCCTACTTAGATTTACATTTGCTCTTTTGCTGTATAATGCATTATGAAGGAATTTCGAACCTTTTGATTTTGATACCGGGCATAGCAAACATTCGCTTATTCCTTAGGTTGTACTGAGAGGCGTCATTGCGCGCAGGTAGCAGGTCAGCTAGTTTATGCTTGCCATTACTCTCTTTGACCTGATTGAGTAGACTTACGCATAACTCTTCTCGCCTACAAAGAGTGTTTTCAGATTTGCATCTTCTGGCGGTTTTCTATACGATGCCTCTGGATATGAATGGAATGATCCCTAAAACTCGCCTCTGAACCCTCTCTATTTAATCAGACAAGTAGACTGGTTAGCTAGAATGGAAAGCTTGAGGGGCATTTTCTAAGACAGAACGAATACATGCGCAGTAGAAGTGAATTGTAGATGTGCAGTCAATGCCAGCGCGCTTAAGTTGCTTGGCAAATAGATTCGCTGAGACGCTTTCACAGTAATATTATCTACGTGGTAATGCAACTTTAGGTCACCCTTTATTGCAACGCACAGTACTTTTGCTGATTTAATGGTTTCAAAGGAATTGCCATTGGCCTCAATTACTGTGACCTCGTTTGGTTTCCTTCGAAAGTTTATGCGGAGTTCCTTGCACTTCCACGAGTTCAGTTTGAATTTATGATCATTTTTTGATCATGTCAGCTTGAATTAATGATCAATTTTTTGATCATGTCCTTCAATTTGAAGGACAAGATCCACTGTGTCTTGTATCTTTGTTGCACTGGACTTGGGAACAATTTCTGAAACCGTGGTATCGTGGGCAAATTTCCACATACCAGAAAGGGGGTTGCTCGAGATAGCGAGGTCATTAATCATGACCAAAAAGAGCCAAGGGCCGATGCGGGTACTAACTACAGGGCTAACGGTTCCTCATGTGATCGTGAAAAATATCTCTCCCTTTACCTTGGACGTATAGCGTTCCCGCCTTCTGATTGGTTCATTCGACATTTATACGGCCAAATCCTCTCCAAATGGTTTGGGTCTGGTGAAGCCGTTCTGATCACCTGTGCGTGTTGTTGATTAACACCAAACACACGAACTCACGAATACCGTTTACGAATCTTCACTCCCCCAACTTAACCCTTTGCCACCTGTATGTAACGTGTGCCTATCCAAAAGTTAAAAATTTTGGAGAAACGAGAAAAGCAAACACAATGCGCAGTTAATTTTTATAAATCTTCTTTTCCTAAACACAAGCTCCGGTGAACGAAGACCATTTAAATGAAAAAAGCCATAGATGCACACTAACTTTTTACTCTAAAGAGCATAACTTTCAAAAGAACGAAAATATCACAGAAAGACAGAAAAAAAAACCTAATTTATCTGACCTCACACAGATATTTTGTGGTCTATTGGTCCGCAATGCGTGCTTGTGTGGGATTTCAGTCAAAAAACCGTTGATGCGGTATGGATTAGCTTTACAGTGAATTAAATACATTTGGTCATGTTATAATGATAAATGTCGAGTAAAGATTCCGTAGATTCCCAAGGTGCAGACGAGAAAAGCTTATGGGAGAAGCATGTTTTGACTTCTAGTTTTGAGGAAATTAGGGGTGCTTAAATAATCATATGCAGAATAATCCGGTTGGGATGACTGGTGAATAATGGTAACAGTTTTTCTAAAATCAGCAAACCAGCCGAACGAGATGTTTTCGGCTAATGAGAGACTGGAAACTGGAAAATTCGGCAAATGGTAAGGAAATTTCCGCTATTCCGTTCGGAACTGAAAAAGAGGACTACCTCAGGAGGAAGCCTACAATTTCTGAATGAATTTTCCGGAAAAGGTGCTTGCGATTTAGCAAAAAATCCGGAGATTCAGGTTGAAAGTCAAATGGAACGGACACTTTTGTGGAAAATCCGTTCGGAAATTGTAGAATACCTCTCACGGTAGTCCTTTTTTTCCGTTCGGATACATCTAAACAAAAATTGACAGTTTTACTCTGTGAAAGCTCACAATAAAATGTAAGTTGAAGGGTTGTAAAACTTACTGAGTAAAATATTCTCAAACTTAACTCGTTTTGTGAGAGAGTAACAAAAACTTATATTTATTTCAAAGTGTTTACGCCTACTTCACTCAACTTTTCTTTTTTTTTTTATTATTATTATTATAGTGGTTAACAATTGCCTACATAGCCTTGCTGCGAAATGCAACATTGGTGACAACTATTGCAAAATTAGGTGAAAACTAACGTTAACCTGATCATGGTATTATTGTGGCAAAACAAAATGATATCTGCAAAATGGTATTCGCAATTATCACAAAATTTACGGTAACAGTTAGCTTTGTTGAGTAAAACTGTTGGCTACAGTTGAAGTTTTTTAACGATGATGGGAGGTCATTTAGGTAAAGGTAACATTGGTGATTACATTGGTGAGAGTAACCGAAAAAAAACACTTAACCTCGTTCCTAGGGTCCTCTCTCTTCCTTGTGGGACCAGAGACCACTTGACGGACTCTTTGCTCTCGCACACAAATAGATAAATAAATAAATGAATAAATAAATAAATATCGCAGGCCCTGACAAAGTGTGGGGAAATCTCACATAATGAAATGCATCGGTGCTACGCTTACTGTTGTCTCCTTCGCAGCCGTTGTTTGGTCTCGTTACACAACGCCCTTTATTTCCCGTTTGAGACAGAGCGCGTGCGTGACGAGACCAAATAACGATTGCGAAGGAGACTACGCTTACTACCGTTCCTCTAACAGAGAGAAAATCAAAATTGTTCGTCTATAGTTAGTTACCTCAAAAATATAATTCCGTATAATTTTACAACTAAAAGCAAACTGAAACTCTGTTGTACCTTTAATAGACCATAACGAAAGATATACTGCGATCTCGAATAAGTGAAGATACATTGACCAAGAGAAAAGGATAAGGTTTTAAAGAGGGCTCCTGATTTGTTGTGCCCATCTGGATTTTGCCCTCAGTGTATAAAATACGAGATAAAAATGCAAGTTGTTTTTTTTTTTACAAGGAACACCCAATTGGTTTAAGTCCAAGGTAGCTAAAAGAAAATTTTATTCGTAGAAAAAGTCAAAACTCAGGAGAACTGCGTGGAAAATTCAGTATCAGTAGCATTTAGTTCCATGTGAATGTTTTTCAGTGGGGTTGGACAATGCGGTTAGAATACGTGATGAAATGCAGGTTCTCTAGAAGGAAATGACACGTGATGAAACAATACCCAAACGCTGTGATTGGTGCAAGTTATCCAAATGCTCTGATATATTGGTGCAAGATACATACCCGAACGCGGAAATCTGATTGGTGCGAGCAACATACCACTCCATAAGCTAAAAAATAACATGATAACATTGAGTTACTTTTTTATAGAAAAAATAACAAAAAATCGTTAAATTTTTCGCACGTGTGCAAACAAATATGTAGATCGAATTTCAGAGAGGTATGCGAATTTTCAATGTGTGAAGAGATATCATGTTACATGGAATTTGCCATATTTGCATATTCAATTTTTTCGCGGTTTGGGTATCAATGTGTTAAGTGTGCGTTAATATCAACTGTGAAGACCCCTACCATCGAAACAAAGAGAGGTTGCAAGGATATCAAATCACGCGATGAGTTTTCCAGTTAGGGCTATCGTAAAACTCAAGAGAATCCTCTTTATGGGTTTGGTAATTGCTGGTGCATTCTGTGCAGTGATGTTGATGCCGAAAATGCTAAAAGTCGGAAAATTGAACCAGGAAGATATCGGTAAGAAAGTAGTTTTTAAAAGAGTTGCTTTTTCCTTAATAGTACCGCCGGCTTGACACTGGAAAACACCCATAGCATTGCGGTATTTTATTGACAATTGCAATCTAACGTTCTCCATCAAAGTCATTCATAAAACTGAAACAACGTAACACAACAACCGTCAGGGAATTTATGCAATTTTGCTACTCATTCGCTTCATAAATTGGCTTACCAAGTGTGATGGTCTGTTATTACAAAGTGCGACAGCTTTTTTACTACAAAGTAGGACAAGTGTTATTTCAAAGTGCGCCAGGTATTAAAAAGTGTGACAGTATTTTCTTGTGCGACCTATATTACAAAGCGCGATGGACGAAAGCTAAGGGCGGGAAACTGCGGAGTTTTTCACGGATTTCCAGCCATACTAACTAAAAGCCAAACGTGTAAAATAGCAAACGTGTAAAATTACGATAGTTTCAGTTTTACGTGTGTTCACGCCACACCGTTAGGTTGATGAACAAATGGCAAAGTGTTCAACATCCTCAATAATCCAAGAATTTTTGTCGAAATTTTTCTCGAGTTATGACTACTAACAATACTGAAAATTTTGTATCGCCTACAGACACTGACGTTCAAAGTTTCCTAGAAGCGGAAAATACTAAAATACGATAAGAACAACCAAAAATTACTTGGCTTTTCTCGCGGCTGGGCTGAAATCAGCAGCCGGAAGATTTGGCACCGGTCGATTTTGGCCGTGTATTTGAGCAGATTTCCTCTGAGATATGGGAAAAGTTGATGACTAAGAATTTCGTAAATTAAAAGATACGCCCATCTTTTGTTTTTGTAATAATTCAACGCATTTTTTCATCTTGAGCCTTGTCGCCTTCGCACTTTACAACGTTTTTTCACGGATTGTGAATCCTTGTTCTTTTCAGGTCTTAATTAAGTCGACTTTTCTTGTTAGTAAAGGCCCATTGTGTTTACATAGTAAACAAAATAATACTTGGTAGCTTGTAGTTATGATATTTCTCTTCTCGTGTCCAACTCGATAACTCACTCGTTTGCGGTGCTCATCTGTGAGATATCGAGTGAAATACGAGTAGAGAAATTCCATATTTATGGGCGCCCGTGTATTATTCTGTATTTCTTTGAATTAAAAAAAAAAGCTTGTGACAAATGGAGTGAATAAACACAACAAAACGGAAGAAACATAATTTTTACATCCAAGGAGGCAGAACTTATTCTTTAAGAGAGACCTGAGAAGCTTCACAAATTTTCAAACAGTATCTATATGCATGACTGCACTCACGCCGTTTGTCAGCCATAAGCTATTTCTTTCATCATCTTTGCTTAAATACATAGGGCTGGTCAAAATACGGCACAACTCGTGAAAATACTCAGCGATACTACACACTAAAACGTCTACTAAGATATTTATTACCCTAGTGCTTTTTTGTTCAGCCAAGTCTTTCTGTTCATTTCTCATAACGCGGGAAAAGCAAAGCAGATAGAGCAGCGTAGTGCGCGCAGCCGACTAGTTAAACAGGTATTTTTTTCAGTACAAAATAACCAACGGTCCAGATAACCGTACAATATCGCAGGATATTCGTACTCTATTCGCGCGTTATTCGTACTCTACGAAGTGCAGTTGGATGATAATACGTAGGTACACAACTGCGCTTGATTTAAAGAATCAAGCGCGCTGCTGACGAATGGCTTCCGTAAATGATCGTGAGTTAGGAAATGACTGACTGGCATAAGAACCAAACTTCCTCCAGCAGTAGCCTTCTTAAGTTAAATCAGTTCTGGTTGTGTTGATTGTGGATAAATGTGACCATAATGAAGTGTACACTTCGCAAATAATCGCGGGACTGCAAGTCAGTCCTGGAATCGTAAGCGATCCCCGAGTTAGACCATTACTTTCGTAACTTTTTTCATGGCCAGATCGCCCATCGTAATTTTCTTCTTAATTCCGGCAACTTTCGTGATTTCTCTCGATTTTCCAGTCTTGTGGGTCAGCATCAGCTGGAAATTTCCACGGCTGAAAGATTCTTTGTTAAATGAACAACAAATGAGTATAAAGAGCCGGTTTCGTGGGCCGGTGTCCCAGCGGTCCAAATCCGGTCCAAATCCGGTCCAAATCCGCTAGCGGATATGGACTCCTCGGTCCAAATCCGCTAGGGGGGGGGGGGGGGGGCGGGTCTAAATCTGTGAAGGGGATCCATATCCGCGGGGGTCCAAATCCGCTGTGACACCGGCATTAGCCGAAACGTCCCACGTTTGAAGATTCTCTATTAACTGAAGGAAAAACGCATGAGCATGAAAAGTCACGAAAGAAGCGCTTTAGATAATTGTCACTGATTGTACACAAACATACCATGCCACAAAATGTACGCACAATCATATACATTTATTTTTTATAATTCGTTAATTTTCATAATACTTTAAGTGACCCAACTTCAATATTATCCTATGTAATCCCATGCCATTCGCCAAACATTTTACAAGACAAGGTGGCAAGGTGTATGTCGAGTTAAGATTTTAAAAAAATTTTTCATGTGGCTCCTTAATTTGTGCGGCTTTCTTCGCGTTGTGTTCACCATTCGCGCTCTCGAAAGCGACCGTAGCACTTGTGCAATTGTTGAAGAGACCGCGATGTTGCATAAGTAATTGAAAAATGAATGTGTTTGTGAGCACTATACCATGTACTTACATGGAAATGGTCAAATACACTAAGTATTCTTCAGTGACTTAATATATTTGTATTGTTTGGGCGGTTTCAGTGCCAAATATTTCGCTATCTTTCAACAGACTTTACACGTACTCCTCAGAAGGTCTCGAAAGGTGCCCGGTCATTCTGTAAATTTGACTATATTGAAAATTTACTCAGTGTTTAGAACATTCAGAATTTTATTTCCTGGTGAAATTTCTCTTGATGCGTTTTTGTCACGTATTCCCCTCGAAACTGCAATGTGCCCTAACAACCGCCATGTTTCCTCCCGGCGATCACATGAGCGAACAAGAGCGGCTTCCTGATTGGTTATATCATGATTGAGCTACCTTAAAGGCTTTCGACATACTGCTCTCTGATAGGGTAGGGCCCACATAAGCCATTTCCTCCACTGAAACGTGAGTGAGATAGAGAGCACTTATAGATATATCGAAGGCATGACCCTTAATCAATACCAAGTGTGATTCCGCCGATAGAGTTGTGCGTAGATTGCGAAGGAATCTTTCTTATTGAATCAAAAAAAGGTTGCAGAAGTACGTACGTAATTCCAAAATGCGTTGTTCGTTTTGGAACGTGGCAAAAGTTACATTCGTCATTCTGACGGTGCATGTCCTTGCAGGGGCATTTTATTCAGTAATTTATGAAACAAATCGAAGTACTAACGGTAAGTAATCATGACATTTGTTTGTGTTCAACTCGTAACTTGACGTTTCGAGCGTTAGCCCCTTCGCCATCGCTCTGACGAAGGGCAAACGCTCGAAACGTCAACGTCAACGTCAACTCGGTTGATACTACTAAAATTACCACATAACAAATATTGGGAGAATGAATCCATTTATATGACTTGAATCTGTATGCGAAACTGTAAAAGACGACACAAGGTTAAGCGATGTTTTTCTGAAGTGGCACGCCGACCTGACGAACCGACAATGCCTCCCAACGAAACCAAAAAATGAATTAATACTTTCGCCAGTTTTTCAGACTGAGTCAAACTCAGTGCCTAAGGTGACAACCATCCATAATAAACAACTTTCTCGTTATTCAACGCTACCAAAATATTGGTCTCGCTTTTAACTCCTCGCTAATTTGACTGATTGTGTTGTGACGTTATGCATTAAACCTGAAACACTCGACTTTCACAGACGGGCTTTAGAGCCATTTCAGGAACACTTGTAAAAAAAAAGCTATCTCCAATAAGCGAAAGCGTAGAGAAATTTATTCATATTTCAAACGCTTGCCAATCTTGTTGCTCGACCATACTTTTCGTGTTCTTGGAACTGCAATCGCTCTGCAAAAACTGCCCGCTGAAGATCCCAGATTTTAAAGGCTTGCGGGTACGAGTAGATGAAAATATCAACCATTTCTTAAAACACTTTTTCGACTGAAATGTTTGCTCGGACAGCGCTGCATAACTGAATATTGGTTGTATTCGCTGCGCACGTCGTAAAAATATATTTTGAACAATTACGAATTTGTGCTTCTGTCTGAGTTAGGGTTACTAGGTTATCTTATTAAAACAGTGTTAGTGTCCCTTTTAATATTTATGTGGCGAATCAGTCGCTAAATATATATATCTTAGAAAGTGAAACGTCCTTGTTAGCGTTTTTTTTTTGTTGTCACAATATTAAACGTAGAATTGTCGTTGTTAATGTTGTTCTTATTTGAACTGAAATTCCATCACCTTGTATTTCCTGAGCTGCACGTTTGAAACTTCTGAGACAAAAATTTACAACTTTAATTCCCCTTTAACTGCATAAGCGAAACTCCATCATCAACAAAATAACGCGTTCTTTATTAAATTTGAAATCTAGAACAGACATGCAAGAGGAAGATACGGTTGAAGTACGACTTTGCTGTGACGGACGTCAAATCAACCCCTTAACGTTGAACACTACCGCTTAATAATTCGTTATAATTTCGATCATCTGTATTTTTTTGAGATAGAAGAACGGTTGCATCTTGTAAACTTCCTTTATCAACATTCAGATTTCTAATAAATTTTAATTGAATTTTTAACAGATTCCCAGAATATTAAACAGATGAAGAGAGAGGCACTGGTAAGTAATCAGTTGAAAATTCAGCGAGTGACTGTAATTCTTACCAGGAGGGTGTGTCTGATCCCATTCTCGACCAAAACATGTTATTTTCACACCCGCAGCAGACCTGCAGGTCTGTAAAATGCATTTCCATTTTGACACCTTACTTCTGTAGGTTGCAATTTGGGTTTGGAATTCATTACGTTCTCCCGTAGAATATCATTACTTTGAAAAAATTAAATAGTGAATTTGAAGTTATCAATTGTACTCAAAACAATATAATCCTAAAATAGTGCTAACTTTCGGATTTATGTCTCTCAGTATTTTCACACAAATCGAATGCGGCTAATTTTCAACTATTGGGTTTAATTTGCGCTCATTTTCAATCCAGAGTGCCTCTATAAACCTGTTTTACTGTAGTACAACAACTCAAAAGCCCTTTGCTGAGAAAAAAGACTTTTCTGGAAAAAAATGCTTCTCCTCACTGAAATAAAACTGTACTTAACCTCACTGAAATCCTGCAATCATTAGAACACATGCCCAAGATAAAAATAGACAAAGGAAAAAGTGAACGAAACGTATCATTAACAGATTAATGGCTTAGGATTAGAGACAAAGGTCATTCCCCGAGAGAAGAGAAAGGCCATTTTCCGCACGACTTACCTTGGGCTCATGTCTTGAAGAGTAGTTTTGTCGAAAACATAATTAAAAATTTATTCCACACAGAGAGTCTATCCCAGTAGTACACAGAACGAAAGTCACACATACATCTACGGTCACCTTGCTCAGATGACCAACGACTGACTTTCCTTTTGCTGGTTGATAAAGCATGCAATCAACCACAATTTCGTTAATGAGGTTTAACATCCTTAGGGGAAATGAGGGTTCTATTATTACACGCCCTTAACTGAATTTTCAAGGTTTTTCTTTTGTACGTTTTTCTTTGTATGTCTTCTTTTTTCAAAGAAGATCTATTTTCAACGAACTCTCCAGCTACGGGGAGTGGCAAATGGAACAATATATTCTCTCTTTGTTTTAGTTAGTGGTATTTTAATGTTAAATTGTAAAAACCATTTTTAAAGCTTATTACCATTTTAACCAAAACCTACAATAGTGTCAGGTGAATATGCCCAAAAAAAAATTGGCCAGAATGTTTGGATTTACATTACGTGTAAGTAATAATGATTCAGCAACTGTATATCACGCGTTACTCACGCATCGTGGGAGCCGAATTTGAGAATTGTTTGTATTCACCTTGACAAACAGTTCGAAAGAATAATTTTGGTTCCTTCCTTCTCTCTCTATGGTTTTCATTTGGAGTCAAAAACGTGAACATGTTTATACGTTCTCTTGGTGTCCCTAGGAATCATACAGTTATCCCAGACACATAATTTTGTCCCTGAAACAGGTCGCACAAATGCAATAATCGTAGCAACAAAATAGGACACAAAGACTTGTTTTGTAAGCAGTAAACACGAATCGATTCGTGACGAAGCCCTGGTTCGGCGATTTAGCGCCTTAAATGTTCCAGCCTTGTTGAGAATGTTTATCACCTTAAATCATTTTTAATTTCCCTTTTTTCAGATCAGACTTTTAGAGGAAAGATATCGGCCTTGGAATTCTTCTGCTTGTACCAAGCAAGGTAGAAGAAAACCTATTCAATATGTCGTCAAACATCACCTTATCGTGTCCGAGCGTTACAAAACACTCTTCTGTTTCGTTCCTAAAGTAGCATGTAGCAACTGGAAACGAATTTTTCACGTTTTAGAAGAACATTTCAACTCGTCGGAAGATATCACCCACGAAACTTCGCATGATTCAGGAAAGTTACGCTTTTTGAGACATTATTCAAACGCTACAGTAGTAGATCACATGTTAAAAACATACAAAAAGATTGCATTTGTTCGCGAACCTATGGAGCGATTTCTGTCGGCCTACCGGAGTAAATTTGCGCCTGTTGTTCCCCCTAGGAAGGGATATTATTACAGCATCGGCCTAGACATCATCAGAAGGATGCGGAAGAACTCTACGGGGTTAACACCACATTATCCTACATTTAAGGAATTCGCAAATTACGCGATTACTACACCTTTTAGTTCTCATGATGAACACTGGGATCGTCAGCATAATTTATGCGCTCCGTGTGATATAAATTACGACTTCGTTGGCATCTATGATAATATCAAAGCAGATGCTGACCTCGCTCTTATGTTGATGGGAGCTGATGAAGAGGTTACATTCCCAAATGTCGAAGCTGCACCCGAAGGACAAGGATCACAAACGAAGATGAAGACTTTCTATTCAGGAATATCACAAGAAGAATTCACACGACTGCAGAATATATACGCAAAAGACTATGAAATTTTTGGATTCAAAAAGCCCAGTTATCAAGAAATAGTGAATCCCTGAATTTCTTCAGCAAGAAGGAAAAGGGGGAGGCAAACCACAGCACGAAAAAGGATTGCTGTTTAAAATGGCATAGAGCTGTGACAGCGGCAAATTTTTGGAGCTATGCTCACCTCCTAAATTATTAAAATCTATGGAGTACAACTGTGAAACATGTATAAAATCATTTGTTTTCGTAGCGTGCAAGGGTGTTACTTTTTTGAAGGAGAACTTGGCAATGTCTTAAGGTTGCTTTTTTAAGAGTCTGCTCAGAAAATAAGAACTCGTAGGTTCTGTCAGTAATCTAATCATTAACTCGAACTTCCTGATCGCAGGACCCAGTTACTGTAGACGGTTCCAACCACTGAATGATTTAAACTCAATGATGTGGAATTGCTTTGAATGCAAGATGACGTGGACGATTTTCTTTTCGAGAACCGTTGATAAAACTTTTTACTCGAAGTTTCAAAACACCATCAGGATACAGCATTGTAAGCAGAAATGCATATTATGAAATATGGCGTAGGTTATAAGCAGAATAAAAAAAATTCTCAAATGTCTTTTTTTAAAAAACAATTAACATTAAGATGGATCTGTAATAAATATAGGAAATGAGCTGCCAGTTGGAGTTAGCAAGGTATGTATCACAGACCTGCTAACGATGGCTGAAAGTTGTTCACAACATAAGATGGCCTTGGCTAGATGAGTTGAGAGTTTCAACGCAGATGAAAAACCATTTTTCAAAACTACTCTATATTATTGTATGTAACGCTTAAAATAACAGCAAGGAAGTATATTTCCTCAAGTATATTCATGGGAGAAGCTCTAATTTTCTATAACCTCCAATCTTTTGAGAAAAGGGCTTCTTTGGGAGTCAATATGCACTGACAGTGACCATGAAAGCCTAAAATCAATCTCAACTCCTTGGCAAGAGGTATATCTAGAGTCGATCAGGGTAATGGGGCCTAAGTTAAAACAAGGCAGGGGCACAGGTCAAATAAAAGTGGGTTTCTCAGTATCATTGCCTCAGTTTTTAATAGGTGGTTAGATGGTTTTTGGTGCCCAAGGATAGGATTTGCTTTACTGTTTTGTTCGATATTAACCACACTTGGACCAGAGCAGTAAACCGTAGTGTTGTTTGCCGACATAAATAAATATCCAGATTGTTGTGGTTTGGAGCACATTGACAGATGGTCGGTAAAACCTGGACCCAACAAGCGAGCTTTAAGAGACACCATAGTGCACATAGTCTGTGGTAGACTTGCAATTATTGACCTTAGTAAACTGGTGTCTACTTCAATAATAGCTCATGGGCCAGTCATGGAGATATCCTGATGTACCGGGATGTAATTTGTATGATATTAAGCGGTGAAGGACAGTGTAGAAAGTTTGTTTGAAAATCTATAAAGACTGTTCTAGCTGTAACACTATTATGAACTGTTATCTTCCTCCATTTAATCACTGAAATCAGCGTTCCTTCAGTTGATAGTCCCTCAGCAAATCGCTATTGTTTACAGCTCATTGTATCACTGTTCAGATGGCTGTCAATTATGGTGCACATCTGAATTTCAAGGGGCTTACTAGGTATACTTAAAAATGAAATGTGCCATAATTTGATACACAAAAATTACCTTTGGTAATCTTATAAGGATTGGGAAAGCTTCACCGAGAAAAACTGTTATGTAAAACACTTAAAATGCTCACTTAGGATAATCCTGCAATAGGGTAATTCAGTGTTATCAACTGAGTTGAAAACGTAAATTGAAAGCGTTAGCCCTTCCGGCATCTATCGCTATGTAAGGGCTAACGCTAGAAACTAGAAAGCTAGTCAGCCTTGAAACTCTTTACGGTGGCCAACTCTTACGCTTTCAACTCAGTTGATAGCACTAAATTATCGAGTTGTACTCTCCCAACGACGAAGCATCACAGTTTCTTTGGAAACTTACCCCCTTGAACCTGCAATATCTTGGCTGCTTGAAGAGATCCCATCAGGACTGGAAGCTTTATCGATTGTCAACGGTGGATGTTGAGGAATTGTAGGATGCATTTCAGTTTCGTTCCGTTCCCATAAAGGATAAGCAGTTAGGAATCGGAGTCTCTGACAATCACAACATTCTTACGAGTTCTACAAATTTTACCTAGTATTTGTTGAAATTTGTCAAATACAGAAACGTTAGGACAGTCAACACAGCTGTCAACATAGCCGTAAACACAGCCGATAAGTCTTTGAAAGCGAGTTTCAATTCCATCAAATAGCTCCAATTGACATCTTAATTGTCATTTGCGGATAAACGTGTGAAATCCAGCTTGGTTTTGGAGTCAATGGCGGTTCTTCCATTGCTTTGCGTGTCGTGTCTTTTCTAAGGAACTAGTTTTCATTAACCTTTACATCATCGCCATATATTTCATGCCAAAATACGTTAAGGACACGGTTAGGACATCAGAGTTAGTGCAGAACAGTTTCACTACGGCGAGATTCTTGCGAAAACCTCGTGGGTTTTTATGACCGATAGCCATTCTTTACTTTCAGAAGTCTCTTTCCGTAAGAGGTTTAAAAAAACAAAGACGAATCAGGTCAGTGTTAGGACCTATATCACCACACAAATGCAAATATTCATAGCAAAAGGTTGCTTGGGGGCCCATGAATAATTTATTCTCAACCTTTTGCGGAATTATCACGCAAATCCAACGAGGTGGATCATGCTCGAAAAAAAGGCCGTTACTTTGGTTGTAATACCCAATGGTCCGAAAAGAGTTAGATTTTTTTCTTCAATATGGCACGAATTTGATTTGCTGCTAATACAATTTTGGTTTAAATATGCCAGGATGAGCAAGGAAAAGCCACAAAACGACGAGAGTTTCAGAAAGCTGAAGATCTTGCTACCTCACGCTATGTTGAACATTCATTGTACTCGTAAACACCAAACCATGTCCACTTTGCATTCTCCTTTGTTTTGTTTCATTTTTGTTGTTCACTCAATTTCATTGCCAATATAACAAATATCTCGCTATCGTTTCAGAGACGTCACACTCCCTCTTCTCCAGCTTTTGTAACGGCTCGTGGCCACATTTTCTATACAACTTCAAACAGGATTTACTCAACTTTTTAAGTTCCTTAGAATTTCTATGCTGGTATAAAGTTTATCTACGCGTGTTGCGTTCCGGAAATGCGTCGATATTGTTTCAAACAGCAATGTTTCCTAACAACAACCTCGTTTCCTCCCGTCGAGAGCGGTCACGTGGAAAAAAAAGCGGCTTACTGATTGGTTATATCAGGTGTATCTTTGTCTCATCATACTAGTACTGCTCTGATTGGGCAGGGCCCAAACGAAGTTTTTTCTTCTGAATAGTGAGTGATGCCAAAAGCACGCAAGGGGTTTTAAAGACGCAAAAGCCTTGACCAATATCAAGTGCAATTCTGCTGATAGTGCTGTGCGTAAGTCGAGAAGGCATCTTTCCTCATAAAATCAAACGAAAGGTTACAATAGTATTTACTTACTTCAAAGATGCGTTGTACGCTCAGGAACTTGGCAAAACTCACAGTCGTCATTTTGACGGTGCATATCCTCGTAGTCGCTCTTTACTCTGTTCTGCTTCAGCCAAAACAACAGCAATTACACCGAGCAAACCTGACTATTGGCGGTAAGTATATATAACGTTTGATTTATGTTTTCTTCGTAAACAGACCATCGTACAACTGTAGAGGTATAAAACATTTTAAATTGCTTAACAGAATAAGTTCGTTAAAATGTAACCATCTAACAAATCGGGAAAGTGATTCCACCGATTTTTGTGACCTTAAGCTGGCAGCGAAACTTTAGAACACAAGGCAATTTCATAGGTGATGTTTTACTAAAGTGGCTCTGGGGCTCGATCGGCAGTCCCAGCTAATGCCGAGCGGACGAACCGATGGCCTAAACGATACACAAACTAAATATGTAAAAATTTTTCCTAGGTTTTGAGCACTTCGTTAAACTCAGTGCGAAGGCGAAGAACCATCTTAAATTTATACCTTTTTCTTTACTTAAGCATTATCAGGATATTTGTCTTTTTTGCAAACACTTAGCTAAAGGAGAAGCCTGTTTGGAGTTATATTGACACGAAACCTTTGTAAAACGATCGCGTGAGATGCGAACAACAATCCCATAATGCATCGCGTTCTCTGATCGAGCGAAATCGTAGCTATCATATCACGCGAGAAATACGGGGGAGAGTCAATTTCACGAGGGGAAGACAATCGATGGTGCTTCCAATAAATTCAGTACTTTCGCTGATATGTCGAAGTGGTGCTGGTTGAATCTGTGCGGTTATGAGAACTTTTGTTGCCAACAGTAGTCGAGAAGCTCTATATAATAATATATAGCGTGTCTTCGCCACTTCGCCGCCCAATCTTGAATGGATGGAACTCGATGTGGTAAGTAATTTGAACTTTTGTGTAATGATTGAGTTTGTCAACATCCTTTATTTATGACCTCGTAATAAATACATAGTTTTAAGCTCGAAGGTTTCAGCCATCACCGCTCTATCGTCTTAAGACGATTTTTTGCGTCTTTTGTAGACACTGAGCACTAATATTAATACTAGTATACCTAGTTTCAACTCATATTGAAGAGTACACTTTGTGCAGAGTATCTCCAAAAAAGAGGATAACATACAAGAAATGCGATAAAAAACATGAATGCGTAAATTGAACAAGCTGTAGTTCTCAACTCCTTAGCCAATATATGTTCCTCGGTCTGAGTGCAGAGAAGTTGAGCGTGCTTTTCGTAGGAAGTAGCATGTACACGTGGTGACTACAAATTTTTTGCATCTGTAAGTCCATAAATACTAGTTCTTCGTGAGAGCAATACTGTTATGTTGGAAGGTGTGGTCTCTTTAAAGGACTTAAAAATTTACGTCAACATTTCGAGTAGTCTTCTCTCCCTCTCTCTCTCTATCGAGCTGACAAGGCCTCGATTACTCAGCAGTATCTCCTATGTGCTGTAAAATTCACAAAACGTAGCCTCGTGGTGCACTCTTCCTACTGTCTATCTTTGACAATGTAATTTTTATCCAAAACAGGCGAAAAAAGCTGGTATGTAGGTTCTTTCAGTGGTTCCATGCACTGTTTTTTAGTTTGAAGAATTTTGTTGTGAAATCGTTTTAAAACAGAGTTGTAATGTTGATTCGAATATTCTTTGCCTGTCTCAGAAGAACTCAAACCCTCGATAGAAAGGCCGTCACAATTTTTTAAACCTCTTCCATACAAGGAACACATGCATGTGCCAATTTGAAAAATTTTCAAAAGCTTTTGTGACTTCATACATTTAATTTACAACTGATACGGAATATAACGGAACAACAACAAGTGTTAGGTCATCACGCAAAGTCTGTGCAGCTATGCGACTACGAACGTTTATTTGAATTAGCTAGAGAAAGGATAATCCATATTTTTCACAGAATATTTTCATGTTATAAACATTTTATTAATATACACACAAGTGTATAGTATCTAATTTGTTCAACTGTACTTATTTGCTACAGGCTAGGTACGTTGTGTTCTCGAGCATAACGGCTGCTTTTATAAACTGTAATAATTTTTTACGTGCAGTGTGTGTGGGAGAATTTTTTCTGTTGGAAAGATTTGTATCAACCCCATGACAAAAAGCCAAAGGATAGGGAAGATTGTTTTGTTTTGTTTTTATGTTCAAACCATACTTATGAAATATCTATACCAAAGTGATTCTTTGTACAAAGACAAAGGTCAACGCATGTCCATTGATCTCCAG